CAGCAAAGCAAAGTGGAGCAAGAGCTGGAAGTGCTGTGTCGGCTGGATGCTTTTTCCGTGGACGTAGAGAGGAAGCAAAACCTGCTGCAGTCAGTTTGCTGCTGTGCTTCAGCACGTCCCTGTGTAGGAAGCGTGGGGTTACGTGGACACCACGGGTGGCAGATGGAGCTGTTGTCCCCATGGCCGATCCCCTTGAGGTTGCTGGGGATGGAGTGGGCATGCAGCATTTTTACCCAGCTTTGGACTCTTGATTTCCAGACCATAAAAAGAGCGAAGTTCTGACATGTGGGAAGGCTCGCAGTTTTCTTTGAAAACAAAACAAATGCAAATGGAGGAGGAATTCTGCATATCTGCTCTGTCTCGTTTCTGGACTTGAGCGCTGAGCTCCTAATCCTCTCTCCAGCCACTGACTCACTGCGTACGAGTCACAAGATGCCTTTGTACCATATCCTCCTTTCTCTTCTTACTAAACCAGGCAGGCAGAGGCAGCTGCCTTTGCGTATTCTCTGCAGCCATGCTGGGTTATCGACACCAGCACGGCAAGTGGGATTAGATGTGGCAGTTGGGGATGGGTTGGAGTTGGACTCGGTGATCTTAGTGGTTTTTTCCAACCCTAATGATTCTGTGATTCTGTTCCATGTGACCTGCTACCAGGCTTGGGCAGACCCCAATGAAAGAGGGATCAAACCCTCCTGACAGGCAAATTGGGGTGGCTGGGGATGCCCTCCTTCTGCCCACCCAGCTGCTTTGGGATGCACAGCTGCTCCCCATTGCAGCTTCTCCTGCTTCAACTCCTGGAGCTGTGTGTGTCAGGGAGCCTGGGCTGCAGTGCCAAGCAGCTGATGGGTGAGAACAGCCCCCCAGCTGTCGCTGCTGTCCGGGTGTCCTGGCAAAAACAGTCCCTTTTCACAGCCGGCTGAAGCTTCGCTTCTGGCCCTTTTTCTGTTCTTTTCCTGTTTCCCCCTTTGTTGTTATTTTATGTTGGATCCGTTCCTGGTCTGAAGTGGCTCGGAGCAGGCAGGAAGGAAGGCGGAGAACGTCAAAAAGTCAAAGAAGAAAACACATCCGTCTGTCTGCCCATCACCCCGGTGCTGCAGCACTGTGTGGGGCCGGGATTTGAGCTCCACTGGAGCAATGCAGCACAGCACAAGGGAAAAGGGACACAGCCTGAGATCGACCTGCCAAGGTCTGATGGAAAGCCTCGATACCCAGCATAGCACAGTGATGGTGTTGGCAGCTGTGGATACTGCAGCACTAGGCACCTTTCTGCAAATCACATCATCACCCACCAGCTCTGCGGGCTTCCTGAGCGTGGCCAGGGAAAGGAAATGGCTGAGGAGCAGATGGGATGATCCCAACCTGCCATGGAGGGAACAACATCTGCCGGGATTTTGCACTGGAAGTCCCCATGAGGAAGGGTGTTGTGCTGCATGCGTTTTGTGTGGGCAGGATGGGGGGTGCTTCTGCTTTTGTGGTCTCTCTGTGGTTCGCGGAACTGAAGTTGTTTTCCTTTCACTAGATGGGGGTGGCTTTTTGTTTCCAGTTTCCTTTACATAACGCTGTCCGTTTTGCTTTACATAAGAGGCCCCAAAGTTATTGCTGTGCATTGCGTGGGGTCAGGATCTGTTTCTGGGGATGAAATGAAAGTTAACTCAGAGCTGTTGGAAACCACGAGGGTATGTCCTTGGTTTCTTTTCTGTCTGAAAGAGCCAATTTCCCATTGCTGGTGGAAGGCGTTATTACAAGAAGGGACTGGAGGCTGCGAAGTCCAACCCCCAATTTTGGCTTTCATCTGGCTTTTGAACCTGTGCAAATGCAGAGCTTCAGTGGGGAACTCCAGCTCAAGCAATTCTCTGCTGAGTCAGGGATGTGCCACGGACGGGTCTGTGCTGCACTGTGCCCACCTATAGAACTCAAGTTCTGTGTTGCAGAGCTGAAAGGAAGCCGAGCAAGGCAGCCATCCTGAGCTTTCAACCAGCTGTTGCTCAGGGAGCATCAGTGAAAGCGCTTTAAGCAGTTTTGTCTCTTCCACGTGTGCTGAAATGAATACCTTTTTCCACTAACAGTTCATTATTTTGTGTCTTTGGAAGCCAGCACGCTTACCCAGGGCCACGTGGGAGCGGAGCTCTTAAGACCTGGTAACTGTGGGGTAATGGTGTGTGATGCACAGGAGCGTTGTCATGCTCTCACTTAATCCTGCACTGCGCTCCTGTCTTACCAAAACCACCCCCGTGACTCATCTCCAAGGCTTTCCAAAACATAGTTTCCTAGCCAGTGTTTTCTTTGCTGTTCAGGTTTGGCGTTTCCCCCCATTGTGCCGATGCAGGCAAGCTCCTGCTGCTCCATGCCTTGTTCCTTGCACCGCAGCCCTTCCTCCAGGCTCTCAAACCTTGCCTGAATCCTCTTGCTCGTTATTGAAGCCCCATGTGCAGACGTGGGCTCAGCGCCGCGCTGTGTACCAGAACACGCGCCCGAGAGCAGAAGAGTTTATTGCACGGAGCAGGAATTCCTCCCCGCTGTAGTCAGCACGGCTTTGAACCGAGGGCCAGAGCTCAGCATTGCTCACACAGCCCAGGGCGAAACGCGGCTCCGAGGAGCTGGAAAAGCAGGCGGGCCATCTGGTGCGGCCGCCAGTTCGTATTTCAGGGGGTGAACTCCCACAGCGTTCACTTATGGCTTTTGCAAAAGTCTCCGGTTCCGTGCAGAACCGTGTGCCCGATTTCCCCCCCCCAGGTTAAACAAGAGTAGGGTTTTCTTGTGCTGCCTCCATTGGAGTGGCTGGAGGTTCAGGACTGCTGAGCTGCAGACATGGTGGCCAAGCGATCGTTTTTGCTGTGTTCCCATTTTTTTGTGTGTGCTTTGGATCTCATTTAACGCTGTGCTGAGCCCCTTCTGTTTGACTGCAGTGGAAGGCACAAATATAACCATCAGTGGAAGGGGCTGTTTACCCATATCTCTGCTGTGTGCTACAGGTGGAGCTGCTGATGAAGGAGGGTTTGCTTTTGTGCCCAGAGGCCAGGTCCCACCAAGCAGAGATGCACGCTCAGTGCGGGTGCTGAGGTGCGCTGCACAGCGTGGGCCCTGCTGCTGCTTTTTGCTTCGTTGGTTTTTAACGAACACGTGCAGAATGCACAATCAGCATCTTGGAGAAAGAGTGGTAGGAAAGAGGAAGCTCACGCAGAATATAAATAACCAAATTTTAGAATGTGGCAGTGTAGCAGCTCGCCCGGCTCTTGGCGTGAGCCAAACTGGAGACCGCTGGGAGCCACGTGCTGTGCGTGTGGTTTGCAAAGGGGGAACTTTGGGGGATATCACACGAGTCAGCAAACAAAAAATGAATGAATCTGACAGCCTTGGATATAAGAAGGAAATGAAATTTGCCTCTACACACATCAAAATTGGGTGCGCTTTCAGCACGTGATGTGAAATACAAGAGTGGAAGCCCTCGCAGTTGTGGCAATATTTTCCACTGTAGTTGCACAGCAGCTGCCAATGATTCATGCATTGATCTTGGGACATTTTGTCCTCTCACATGATTTGATTTCTTAACTAATTTAACTGCACCTCGACAAGCATCTGTTTTTTGTGATTCTTTGTGTCTGGGCTTTCCAATGGCCTGGCCAAACCTCCACTCAGGTTTTGTTTGGAGCTTTCTGCTCAGCATCTCCTGGACCCACGGTCCTCACATCCACGGGCAGAGAATTGGGAGGAGGATGTTTTGCAAGGAGCTGGGCTGTTCCTGGTGCATGCTGATTCGCAGTGCTCAGCTTCAGCCATGGTGTGGCTTCATGGGAAGGACATGGGAGGAATGTGGCTTAGTGGGCATGGTGGTGGGTTGGACTGGATGATCTTCACCATCTTTTCCTGTGCAGTGATTCTGTGAAGCACTGGGGCCGCCACTGGGAGCAGTGTGGGATGGGGCACCCACTGGCAGCCTTAATCCTCAGCAAGCTCTGAGCAGTTGCCATTTCTCAGGGGTTTTTCATGCTCTGCAAAGTGCAGGGAAAGCTGCAGGCTGGCATTGGCTGTGGGTTGGCAGCGTGCTGCACCCAGCATGTGGCTGCTTTCCCCTGCTAACCCCCTTACTGGTTGCAGGAGTTCTCCCCATCTGCTGGGCAGTGGGTTTTGCCACATGCGATGTCCCAAATGCTGTGGGTGCTGGGGGGAGGGGGAAATCCCTTGGGAGTGCAGAGGGATCTGCAGAAATCCTCTTAGAAGAGATGCTGACTCAGCAGAGTGTGGTGGGAGAGGGGCCAAACTGAATCTGAGGTGGTTTTTGCATCCCCAGAACAGAAGCATAAGCCTCGTGGCTGGGTCTGGCAATGGCCCTGGGTACAACCACCTGTTCATTTCTCCCCAAGGGCACCCTGCTGCTGCTTCGTGAAGTTTTTCCCCCAATTCAGGCTGCCCAGAGAATTTGAGGACACCCCATCCCTGGAGATGTTCAAGGCCAGGTTGAATGGGGATCTCAGCAGCCTGATTTGGTGCCTGATTCAGTGGTTGGCAACTCTGCCTGAGCCATGAGGGTTGGAACTAGATGATCTTTTAGGGCCCTTCCAACCCAACCCATTCTACTCTACTCTACTCTATGATTCAAGCTTCCCCTTGACTTTCTGCCCAGCATGCTTAGCCAACACTGCCCAAAGCTCATGGACAGCTTCATTCCCCAGTTGTTATTTATTATGAGACTTTGAGTGCTTGAGATGCTCAGATGAAGCTGGGGCAGATTACTCACATTCTTGTCATAGCCAGCAGCAGTGTCACCTTATGTCCCATAAAGGCACAGGAAGGAGGATAACTGAGGTGTGGGTATGCAGAGTCTTGGCTCTGCTTAGGTGTTGGTGGGTACTGGGTTTACCTGCCCCAGAGGGCTGGTTCTGCCTGCTCTGTGCTTCTGAATGGATGAGCAAATTGCCTTTGGGATACCCCATCCAGGCTTGGGTGAGCATCTGTGCCATGTGTTAACCTCCTTATCTCGTGGTGTATCTCATCCCATGCAGAGCTCCACACAGGAGATTGGAGAAGAGCTGGAGGATGGTGTAATCTACAGCATATCACTGCGCAAAGTGCAGCTCCATCACACAGCCAACAAGGGGCAGCGGTGGCTGGGGGTAAGTGGGGTTTTTCTGCCCAAGAGGATGACCTGATGTCAGGGCTCAGCAGAGTCTTTATGGGCTACATCCTGCCCTCTTCAGGTGTCCCCATATGCTCATGTTCTGGGAGCTCCTTCCAAGCATAATCTGAAAATCATGTATTTATCTGGGCAACCCTGAGGTCTTTTCTGGGGCTTGCCAGATGCTCAAGTCTTCTCAGTTGGGTTGCTGGCCACTTGGTGCCCAAGATGACCTTCCCTCTCCCCAGCCCCATCACATGAGGTCCCATCACTGCAGGAAGTCCCATCCAAGATCCATATGATGCTTGTTGAGGTGATGGGACCACTGTGAACTTGTTTATATCCATCTTCATCCAGCCTGCTGACTTCTGCTCCTGTCCCAGCAGTTTGAGAATGAATCGGCCTTAAACCTCTATGAGACGTGTAAGGTGCGGACAATAAAAGCTGGGACCTTGGAGAAGCTGGTGGAGTACCTGGTTTCAGCCTTCAAGGGCAATGATTCCACCTATGTCACCATCTTCCTGTGCACTTACCGGGCCTTTGCCACCACCAAGCAAGTGCTGGACCTGCTGCTCAACAGGTGAGGTGGCCGTGCCCCAAAACACAGATAGAAGTGGCTGATGTCTGAACATCCTCAGCCAGGAGAGCTCCAGCATCTTATGCCATGTCTTGGAGCTCTGATGGGCTTCTTCCAACCCCCTCAGGTATGGCAAACTGCATGTGCAGACAAACGGGGACCACGCCAGGCACGTTGTGGACGAGAGGATGGAGCTGAAGAAGTAAGTCTGACCATGCTGGGGGTGATTGCTCTTCATGCTCTCACGAAGGCATGTGCTGTCCCATGTGTTTCTCATGACACCACCCAGTTCTCTCCTCTGTTCCCTTCCCCACAGCACCATCTCCTCCATCCTGGGCGCCTGGCTGGACCAGTACTCAGAGGACTTTCGCAAACCCCCAGACTTTGCCTGCCTCAAGCAGCTCATCTCCTACGTGCGCCACAACATCCCTGGTTCAGACCTGGAACGCCGAGCCCGCATCCTTCTGTCCCAGTTCCAGCAGCAGGAGCAGAGCGAGGCTGAAGCAGAAGGTGGGGATGGTTCCCTGCTCGTGGAGATGTCAGGGTCTGTAGGGAGCTTCAGATGTCTCCACGTGGCTGGACATGGAGGTACACTGGGAAGCTTATCCAGCTGAACTAGAAGTGGGATTTCTAAGCGGATTAGTTAATCTGCCTCTAATCCTCTGCAGATGCTTGCAACCAGGTTAAATATGCCTGTTAATTTATCTGAGCCTTATCTTGAGGTGTGAAAGCACAGCACTGGGGATGGGATGTGGTGTGGGATGCAACGGGATTCCTTGCTTGTGGCTGCACTGCAGTGCTCAGCTTTCTGCCATCTTCACAGCTGTGGACCATGGTGGCTGCACGTTCCAGCTGGTGGAGGAGAACGGGGTCGGGGATGGGAAGTCGGATTTCCTCTCCTTCTCCCCTGAGATGGTGGCAGAACAGTTCACACTCATGGATGCTGTGAGTACTCATTCAGCACTGGGTCAGTACTGCTGCTCTGGGCACAACCCACTCTGTTCCCTCGCATCCCACTCCATCTTTTCCCAAAGAGACCCATCCCATCTCTTTATCTTCTAGGAACTGTTTAAGAAAGTGGTGCCTTACCACTGCTTGGGCTGCATCTGGTCCCAGCGAGACAAGAAAGGCAAAGAACACCTGGCACCCACCATCCGTGCCACGGTCTCGCAGTTCAATAGCGTGGCCAACTGTGTCATCGCCACGTGTCTTGGGGATCGGACCCTGAAGCCACAGCAGAGGGCTAAAGTGGTGGAGCGGTGGATCGAAGTGGCTCGGGTAGGACAGTGCAGCCCCACTCGCCTTGCCCAGGGCTGGGGTTTTGTGGGGCACAAATCCCTTGGCTTTTTTTTTTTAACATCGAGCCCCGCTGTCCCCTTTTCTGCCCCCAGGAATGCCGCATCCTGAAGAACTTCTCCTCACTCAGAGCCATCCTTTCAGCTCTGCAGTGCAACGCTGTGCACCGGCTGAAGAAGACCTGGGACGAGGTCCTGCGGTGAGCAGCACCTGGGGGTCCTGGGGCTGCTGGGAGGTCTTTGGGGGGTGGCTGTGCTGGAGCTGTGGCCCTTCAGTGTGTAGATGGGAGATGTGTAAATGGGATCATTGCGGCTCTGGCATTGCCCAAAGCCAAGGGATCTGAGGAGAGGGAGGAAACAAAGGCAGTACTGTCTGCTTCTCTTCCATCTGAACACCCTGGAATAACCCCAGTCAGCAAGGCCTGCTGCAGCTGTGAGCTTTGCTGAGGTCATTTGGGTGCGCAAGGAAGGGACCCAGTGTGGCACCACTGCTGACTTCCCTGTGTTTCCCCTGAACAGGGAGAGCTTCCGCACTTTCCACGAGCTCTCAGAGATCTTCTCCGATGAGAACAACCATTCCTTGAGCCGAGAGCTGCTTATTAAGGTATGGGGCACCTGTAGTCCTGTCAAGGAGCTTGGCTGGTGCTGGCAGAAAGGTCCCCGTTGTTCCAGCTGCCAGACAGATTGGGCATTCTGCTTCCCCACCCCAAAAGCTGTCATTGCATGAAGATCTCAGAGCAATTGAATGGGTAGAGATAAGCAATGAGATATGTTCTGGTGCACCTGATGATGGCCTTTCCCCAGATGCACGTGAACAGCCTGGTGCACAGTACAGCTCTTCAGTGGTCTCCTGAGTTAAGGTGAGGCAGTGGAGTTCGGGAAAGGCTGAAGCCAGGTGTCCTCACAGCTTTCCAGCTCCAGACTGGGGGCTGAGATCACATGAAATACAAAAAGGAACAAAACAGCCCATTGAAAAGCTATTTATACAGAGAGCTGGAAATGGGAGCAGCATTTCCTATTCATTAAGCTTCTCCCTGTTTAGCCCTGAAAAAGCTCAGCTTAGATTTCCTTCTCTTCTTCTCATTCCCTTTATGAGGAAATTGTGGCAGTAAAAGTGGCTGTGAATTTTAGCTCATGTTTCCCACTCATGCTGATGCTGTCTTTCCCCACCATCCAGGAAGGCACATCCAAATTTGCCACCTTGGAAATCAACCCAAAGAGGGCCCAGAAGCGGCAACAGCAGCAGCGAGAGATGGTGAGTGGTTGTTCCCATGTCCCCATGTCCCTGCTGGGTGGCTGCCAACTCTATGCTGACCTCAGCCATCCCTCACTGTCCCCCAGGGTGTGATGCAGGGCACCATTCCCTATCTCGGCACCTTCCTCACGGACCTGGTGATGCTCGACACCGCTATGAAGGATTTCCTGGACGTATGTACCTCCATCTCTATCCTCCTCTTTTCCTTCATGCCCAGACATTCCCAGAGCCTGGCGGTTCAAAGTGGAAGGTTGATCCCTGTTGCTGTCCCTTTGGGCATCCCATAGCCAACTCTGCACCCTGTGCATCCCATAGCCGACGTTGTCCCTATGCATCCCGTGTGCAGCTCCGGCGGGCTCTGGCAATGGGCCGCTCTTGCAGCGCCCCCTGGCGGGCACGGCACGCATTGCAGCGGCAGCAGCCGGGCAGCCGGCGCGGAGCGGAGCGATGTCCTAATCTGTCCCCGCTTCTCACTGATGCCCGGCTCTTTCTTTTGCAGGGAGGGCTGATCAACTTTGAGAAGAGAAGGAAGGTGAGAGTTTGCACGGCTGGGTGGCGGGAGGAGGCTGGCGTTGTGCAAGCCCAGGCTCTGCCTCTCTCTTCGGGGGAAGATTCTGGTCCTTCCTAGGAGTCTTGGTGCATGGGGCTGGGCTGTTTGCAGAGGGCTGTGGGGCTGCAGACGGAGGGGGTCTGACTGCCTCCATTGGTTGCAGGAGTTTGAAGTCATCGCCCAGATCAAGCTGCTTCAGTCAGCCTGCAACAACTACAGCTTCACTCAGGAGGATCATTTTGTGGACTGGTTCCACAGCCTGGAGCGGCTCAGTGAGGCTGAGAGGTGAGTGCAAGCAGGGCTGTGCTGCTGCCCGTGCACTGGGAAGTTGCACAGAGCACTGAAGCCTTTGTCTCTCCCTCAGCTATGGGCTGTCATGCGAGATTGAGCCACTGTCCGAGTCAGCCAGCAACACACTGAAGGCGAAGAAGAACACAGGAATCATCAAGCGATGGAGCGAGTGAGTCTGTTTGTCTCAGTGGGATGCGGGTTGGAGACAAGGGTCAGCACCATCGTGTCCTTCCCTGGGCCTGCTCTCTCCTCACTCTCTCCTCACCCTCTCCTCTCTCCCTTCAGCCGGCAGCCAGCCAGCACGGAGCCCTGTGCCAGCGGCAGCTCCCACTCCAAGTCCTTCGACCAGCTCAAGTGCGGGCAATACCTGTGCAGTGGGGATGCCACTGACTCAGTCAGCGTCACCTCCGCCGGCTCCAGCAGCTCCGATGTGGAGGAGATCAACATCAGCTTCATCCCTGAGTCCCCTGACTGTCAGGAGAAGAAGGTATGGGGCAGCTTGTAGGGCTCCTGAAACAGGTGCTTCTCTCAAGAGGGGATGGCCCCTGCCTTGCATTGGGGCTGGGGAGCTGGGGCTGCTTCTGCTTCTGGGGAGCGAGGGAGGCCTCTGCTCTTTGTAGTGGAGCTGGGCTTGCCTTGGCACAGCAGGGTCTGGCAGCTCTGGAAGCTGTACGTCCCCTGCTGGCACAGGGCAGTGAGATCCCTCTGGCCTCCCTCCCCCAGCACTCGTACACCCCGTCTGTGGCTGATGGAGAAGCTAAACCAACTGTGTCCTCCGCATCCCCTCTCCTCCCTGCCCTCCAGTTCTGGGAATCCACCTCTCTCTCCTCCCTGGACACGTCGGGCATCGGCTCGGGCTCCAGCAGTGCCTCATCCTCCTCTGTCTCCTCCACACCGGTGACAGCATCTCGCACTCACAAGCGCTCCGTCTCCGGCATCTCTAGCTACTCGTCCCTCTCGCTGCCCCTTTACAACCAGCAGGTCGACGACTGCTGTATCATCCGTGTCAGCCTGGCTGTGGACAACGGCAACATGTACAAGAGCATCCTGGTTAGCACCCAGCACCCGCGTTACTTTTGGGGTTTGGAGGCTCGTCACGCTTGGATGCGGGCATGTCTCACACTGGGAGGATATGGAGGTGGGAGATGTTGCACCATTTTGTGCAGAATGGTGGTTAACAGTGCTGTGTGCTCATAGGTGACGAGCCAGGATAAGACACCGGTTGTTATTCGCAAGGCCATGGCCAAACACAACTTGGATGGGGACCGGCCTGAAGACTATGAGCTCGTTCAGATCATCTCAGAGGAGAGAGGTGAGTATGGGGGTGGGATTCTCTTCCTGGCCTGGGCTCTGGGTGGGAACAAACTGCCCAGCTGACTCCATCCTTGGTCCCTCTCCAGAGCTGAAGATCCCCGACAACGCCAATGTCTTCTATGCTATGAACTCCGCCGCCAACTACGACTTCGTGCTCAAGAAGCGGGGTTTCTCCAAGGGGGTGAAGATCAAACACGGCTCCAGCTCCACCCTGCCCAGGATGAAGCAGAAAGGCCTGAAGATCGCCAAAGGCATCTTCTAGCCTTAGCCCCACTGCCACCCCTCACCGACGGGGCCTTGGGGGCAGGCTGTAGGCAGGCCTGGTGCTGCTGGCAGAGCCAGGAGTGATGCTCACCCGCACCGAGAGCTTCGGCACCCGGCAGCCCTTCCGCCTCTCTCTGCGCAAGCTCCCGTTTCAATCAGGTCTTTTGTTTTTCTACACAGGAAGGCAGCAGGGAGGAATTTCTCTCTCTTTTATTTTGCTTTTTAAACCTTCCACGGTGCGACACTCGTCCAGCCACCGGCCTGCCCAGAGCAGGAGCCCACCTCTCTGCCGTAGGTGCCTTGTGTCCGCGCGAGCCGGGGAGCGGCGGCTTGGAGGGGCCCTTTGCGAGGAGCAGCCATGAGCCACTGCCACGTGAGCTGGGATGGGTGCTCCCCTTCTCGGCACTGGTTTACCTCCTTCCCTGGATCACCTGGCATTGCCACCGCCACCTGTCTGTGCCCTGGGAGAAGCTGTGCTGGAAAGGATGCAGCCCCATGCCGGTGCCTCGTGGACCAGGGCTGCTGTTGATGACTGGAAGCTTCCACGTGGTCTCACTCCTCTCCCCAGTCCAGCTGCCGGCCCGCGTTCAAACCTGCACCAAAGATCAAATGCCAGTGTCCCTTCTGCAGGCAGGAAAGCTTTGCGTGCACCCCAGTGCCCCCAGAGCTGCCAGCCGAGCCAGGAGGAGGAGAGCAGACTGCTGTCCAGATTTGTGTAAATAGAGACCTTGTGTCTGCATGGGCAGGCGAGGAGTCAGAGAGCTTGGGGTGCTCCGGCTGCCACCGCCTGACCCACAGGAAGTGCCACTCACCTTGGGCTTTAACCTGACTTTTCAAACACTGACTATGGGAGAAGCAGCGATGAGACTTCTTTTGTACAAAACAAAGAAAGGTTTTGGTTTGTTTTTTTTTTTTCAATATTTATTGGTTGTAAATAGAAGAGATGAACTTGTACATTTTACTAACCCAGAGTCCCCTGCCGTGCAGCCCAGTCCCTCTCCTGTTCCCCCCCCTGCTATTTAAGGCTGCTGGGAGGGATACTCACAGCAGCAGTGTTGCTCTGCCTTGCTCACACAACACCGCCTCCTCTGGCCTCCTCCCTTCCTCATTTCTTTACCACTAGTCGCTCAAGCAGTGGCAGAAGCTTGTTTTAATGACTGTAGGAAACACTAACCAAAGGGGGGACTTCCTTTTTTTTCTTCTTTTTGCCCCTGGACCTGCTGGCTCCATTGCATTTGAGCACTTCCTTCCAGCACATCTTTTGTTTCCTGTCTGTCTGTGCTGCTGGGTGGTGGGGGGGAAACGTGTTCCATGCCTCCAGGAGAGGGGCTGGGATGTAGCAACACTGCACAGTGACACTCAGAGGAGCAGGACTGGTGGCAGAACCAGGTGGAGTGAGGCTCCTTGTTTCTAAGCATGGTTGGCACTAGTTCTGCCAGCCCTCTTCCTCTTGGGTGGCATCACCTGGGTCACCATGCCCACTGCACATGATGGGAGCCCTTGGCACCCTGACGCAGGGGCTGCCTCCTGCCTCCCACCCTGCCCGGAGCCAGGCCCCTGCCTTTGGGTGCCAGCACCCCTGGGCCTCCCCCTGGCTCCATGCTGCTCTGTGCCTGCCAGCTCCTGCCCACCCCATTGCCTCCCTCCCCTGCTGTTGGTGTCCCCTGGAAGCCCAGCATCACTGGAGGGACTGGCTGTACCATATGTATTTTGTACCACTTCAGTGAAGGAGCACACTGCCCAGTGTGACTTGTATACAGCAATGTAATTAGTCTTTGCAATAAAATGTCGATCCTCAAGCATCCCTGCCCTAAAGCAGGGGCTGTTCTGTCTTCCTTCCTGAATTGCTTGCCTGCTCCTATGGAAAGGGGAATGGATCTGATCGTGGAGGTGGTGCTTGAGCCTGTTACTGTGTGGTAATCGTGCTGAGCTTTGTTTTGTGCTTGAATGAAGAAACAAGGCTTTTTTGTTTGCAGGACCAATGCCTGATTTCAAGCAACTCTGTTCATGTGAATCTGTGTTGCTGGGACTGGTGCCTTTTCTGGTAGCATAAATGTGACATCTGGTTTACTATTTACTTCTTTTTACACGTGCAATGGCTGTAAGAGCAAATGCAACGTTAAGGAGATAGCAGTCTGCTTTGGCTTGAGACATCATTCCTTCACTGTTCAAGGGCTCATTTCCTAGCACAGCCAGCATGTTTATTTTTTATAATTGCACAGACTTCAGTGGAAATTGCCTGGATGGTGTGGTGCCTCTGGCTGTAGCTATTAAGGACGAAGCTCCAAGAACCAGAATTTCTCTGTGCCTCTACATAGATTACTTTAAAGCTGAGTGTTTTGAAGATGAAAGGACTACCTTGCACAGACGGGGCTGTTAGTGCCATTTCCTGCTAAGTCTGAATTAAGAATCCAAGGAACTGCATTCTTCCCAGAGAGAATTTAAAAAGAGCTGGGGAATAAGTAAACCCTGACACAAGAGATTGCTGGTTTCTTTGGCCTCAGGCTAACTGCTGACAACAAGTTTGGCTTCAGGTGTTTTCCTCGCATTTCTAAGAGTGTTTACTCTTGGTGCCTGATAATACCTTACCTGGAAGTGCAGCACCCACAGCATTAGAACAGTTATCAGCTACTGATGATAAACCTTCCACTTGTAACACACTGAGGAATGCACAAGACTTAGAACATGCCAGCAGTTCTTTAATTTCTCTAACTGAATGGCAACCTCTTCAAACCATTTTTCTATTTTCCACATGGCCATCAACCCAGACAATATTTCCTACAGAGATCTGGGAGCATAGTTTCTCCTGTTCCAAGGTGTATTGCCAGCTGGTTTCAGTTCTCTTTTCTTGAGAGAGACCGTTGAGCTGCTGCAGTAAATACCAGTTGAAGCCTGGCAAAAAACCTGTTATCTCCATGGTGGCAATATTCTGAAGGCTTATTATCCAACAATTACAAAAATAGAATCATAGAAACACAAGGTTGAAAAGGATCATGTAGTCCAACTGTCCTCCCATCACCATTACTGCCATAAGCTACTAAACCACATTTCATAGCACCTCACCCAGATGCTGTGTGGGCCATGGTGCCTGAACATCCAAAATGACAGCTATCAGCAGGCACCACAGTCAGTGCAGACAGGTAGTGAGCAACTTAGTGCAAGTTCTGCTCTCAGACACCCTGTGTATAGTTGCTGAAACATCAGCACTGAAGGAACAAGAGCCAAGAAAATTCTGTCCAACAGCAGTGAGACTATTCACTGAGTTCACACGTAGTCTAGGATTTCTGTTTCCATCTCATTTTCACTTCCATCAGAAGGCTTGAAGTCTTCTTCTTCCTCCTCCTCTTCATCGTCCTCATCCTCTGCAGATTCATATGCCAGCTGTTCTTTGCCATCTTCACTGCTTGTTGTACTTGAGAAAAGAGCTTAATTAGGAAGGAAGAAAGGAAGACATGATGACATATCTTTCAGTACAACCTGAAGAAATTTGCAGTAACGTTCATAAAACAGTGAAAGTAAGGCAGAAGCCTGAGGGTCACAGTTAAGGCTGCACATGTGTAGTGGAAATGCTAAGTCAGGGCTTGAAGCAGTGACTGACCACCTGGTTGGAAGGCAGGGCCAACCCAGGGGAGCATGACCAGAAGGGCTGGAGCCAGGATCCACCCCTGCCCAGACCTCATTTAAGCATTAGCAGTGGAAGCAAGGGTATCTTGCTGGAGATCCCTGCATACCTGAGGCCTTCCAAAGGTAAGCAGCTTTGTTTTGTTTCTGTGTCCACAGCTGCTGCATTTGGGCTTGTCCTCGTTTACTGCAGCTAAAGACTCTGCCATCCTATTATCGCTGTACTTTTCATCACATAGTGTTACAAACCTGAAGGCTATGATACTCAAATAGTGAAAAAGAAAACCTCTACTCTTAGCTGTTCCTAGTCTCCAACCCATGTCATGTGGCAGGACAACAGCCTCAGCTCTCACACTGTAATGCACGAGAGCATGGAACACCACAGGTGGTGAATGCAGTAGTGCTGCTTTCCCAGCACTGACAAGATCCTAATGCAGTCTCTGTGTCATCAGACAAGTGGTAATACATTGCTTGGCATTTTGAGGTTCAAAAGCATCCGTACCAGGTCTTGTGGATCTGATTATCTGCTTTATCATCAGGGACATGCTATCTCGCAGATCATCACTAGTCTTTGGAAGGCACCATCCATCCCGCTCCGTGCATTCTGACTCTGTACCATCGTTCCGATGGATGATTTTTTGTAGGCTAAAAAGCAACAAAAAGAAAGTGAAATGTTAGCCTTCTGCACTCAGTTGCAGGCTTCAAATAAGACAGACTGTGGCTTACTTTGCTTTCCTTGAGTTGGAAAGCGTGTTTGGTTATTCATCTGTCGTATGGGAAAGGAAGTTTAGGTGAGAAGTCTGTCCTGTTTTTATTCAGAAGCCAAATACCTCTTAAGTTTCTGGTCAAGGAGAGTGAGAGTAACGAAGTGGATATAAACAGGCTTTGAAATCTAGTTCTAACAGAGGATTCAGCTGGCAGTGTGTAGTACCTTTCCACATTCAAGTCACAGAGTTGATAGAACATCTGGCGATAAGGGGGTAAGGCTCCTTCTCGGAAAATATAGACCGATTCCTAAGAGGAAAAGTGGAAAGGATTTAATGTGCATTCTGAGGTGTAACAGGGCAACTCTGGTGTAATGGCAGAGTACCGAGTAAACAACAAGGCACTTCTTGCACAGATCTGTCCCTAGTCACAAAACACTTACTATCCAAGCTACAGCTTCATTAATAGCTTGTTACTGCATATCAGCAGTTTTGTTCTAGCAAAAAGGAAGAAAAAACCAAACAGGTTCCTATTTAAATATTCATTTTACCCTGCTTGTTCTGCAGTATGACCCGATAAACACATGGCAATGTTTTGCACTTCACTGCCCTTTAAGTTCTCCAGTTTTCTCAACTGAAACAAAGTGTTCATTGAGTCTAAGGCTGGAGCAAAAGTAGCAATCCCCTGTAAGAAATACCTTCACAGAACAGCAGGTGAAGTTCACAGAATCACAGAATTGTAGGGGTTGGAAGGGACCTGCAGAGATCATCGAGTCCAACCCCCCTGCCAAAGCAGGTTCCCTACAGCAGGTCGCACAGGTTGGCATCCAGGCAGGTCTTGAACATCTCCAGAAGAGACTCCACCACCTCCCTGGGCAGTGACACGTTCAAATAGCAGCTCTTCAGGTAAACTTGTGACTTTCAACTCATTCATGTCTCAAAGAGAAACCCAAACCCTCAGTGAATTCCAAAACAGAAAAGAGTCCCTTTTTACAATGCTATTTCAGTATTCTGGTAAGAGAGTAATGCTTACCTTCAGTTTATACCTGCTGGAGGGAGGCTTTTTTGCACCAGATGCACCAGGAGTACCAAGTCCCTGCTTCAGATCGTGTACACTGACTGTATGACTTACTGAAAGGCAACAGAGACCTGATTGGGAACAGATTCTCTGTGGCATTGTACTGTTGCCTCCCAGTGTTGATCCAGCGTGGCTGCTCAGCAAAAAGCAGATCAACCCAGCAACTGAGCATGCATGGCTGATCCTTAGGAGATGTTACCAGATAATCAATTGGACACAGGAAAGATCTGAGTTCTAATTTTGGCTCAGCTGGAGCACAGGAGACACTTCTGACTACCTGAGGGTAGGATGGAGTAAAACAAAGAAACAGCAGAGTCAGACAGCCCTCCAGCTGGCACGACATACCTGGCTTTTTGACAGTGATGGGCAGGCTGTAGTTATACGTGCTGCGCTTTGCTTTCACTGGCATATCATTGGGGGTGTAACCTAGAGGTGAGAAAAGAAAACCCACAGTGAACTGAGGATAAGCATCCCACAGAATATGCCTAGCTCAGTAACAAGTGCTGGACCACTGTGTGAAACGAAGGCTGATTTTTGGGACACACCGACTTTTGCAAGACAGAGAGAAGTATCAGATAAAACCTTTTTGGTTGGAAAGAAGGGAAGATGTGATCTGATCATAATAACGAGATGACAGCTCTCTCAAGGACTTATATATGACCTCAGAAAGTCCTTTCCCTCAACTTGCTCTGTACAAAATCACACCAAAGGAACCCTATGTACCACAGCCTGAGTCCTGGTGTCCCGCACATGCAAGCAACAGAGTCTACTGCTTAGTGCTTCCCCTGAGCAAGAGTAAAGATGGCCTGCTGACATCATCTGGGCTTTGAATGCATGGAAAAGGAAAGTCAGACAGCTGTTCATAAGGTTTGGAATATGCCAAATGAGGGAAGAAATACTGCTTAGTATAAAAATAAAGAAGTTCATGGAAGAGCTGCAGGAAGGAATGAACTCCAAAGATGCACTCTCCATCAGAGCAGACAGAGCAAAAGAGTTTGAAAACAAACAAAAATAAAAGAACCAAAGGATTAAGCATACAGCAGAGGTGGTCTCTGTGGGTCAGACCCTTTTACCATATTTCATTCCACAGCGAATTCGGAAGTCCAGTACTTGATAAATCTTTGCTTCAGGGTGTTTTCTAGGGTCATACCCAAACCTAACCCATAAGCTCCTCCAAGGACCTGTGATCTGTGTGAACAAACAGGGGGGACAAGTTGCAAATATAGTTGTATTGCAGTCTCTTTGAAAATGCTAATGTTTTCCTGCTCTGCCCAAATCTACTTCCTTACCAGTTCCTTCATCACTTTCTACAACTCCTATTTACATACCAAAATTGGGCAACGTACTGAAGCCCAAATATTTGTGTGCCTTTAAAAATAATCTGCAAGGTCACAAGAATCTGTTTGGAAAGAAATCTGCTATCGTTGCCAGATGGACAATCAATTTGAGTGTCTGACTGTATGACAAAGTAGACCAGATCCAACAGAGCTAACAGCTGCTGAATCCTGCATGGTTATAACTTCTGTTCAAGAGGAAGATTTACTTTCCCTCTTCCTCGTACATTAACCTCAGCTAGGACCTCAGAAACTGCAGAGAGCAAGGAACACCCAGGTGATCCACCCTTGCTTTCTGCTAACTCAGACAGGAACAAGGGCAGATATACAGACTTACCATGTAATAGGCCAAACAAGGCAGCAGAAGTTTCAGCTTGTCTGGGTGGACACTGATATTTGCTTTAACTGCATTTCGAGACCAGACTGGACGAACCTCAAAGAGCTAAAATAATACATAATAATTTCAGATACATGCTCCTCATTTAATTGCTTGACATGATGGTGTCATGCCTTGACAAGTTTTTATCCCACCCATTATTTACAAGAAGTGCAGCTGTTCTGGACATCAAACATTCTAGTATCCTGAGAAGTATAGCCCCTCTCATTTGAAGGATCAGAGAACAGAAAAAGCAAACGTTCTTTGCCAAGATTTCAAGAGACAGCTGATAGTGAACAGGAATCAAACCCAATGGCCTGGATTGGGAATCCTGGTGCAATTCAACAGGCCACATCACACTAACAGTATTATACACAGAACTTCACAATCAAAACCTACAGAGGAGCCAGCAAGTTAGGATTACAGCCATTTCCTGGGAAGTCAAAGAAAAGGACTGCATGCAGTCTTTTCCTACACAGCACACCAGGGCTGGGTGCCCAGCCCAGCTCAGGAATATGGCACGTACTTTTCTCAGCTCTTCCTCCACCTTCCTATCCACAGGATTGGTGCACACTTTCTTCCAGGCCTGTGCAGCAGCATCCAGTGGTTTGGTTGGCACTTCATCATCAAAGTTCACAAAGATGGCATTGTTGGGGCGCCGGGCCCTGCTGAGGCCAATGAGGTTCTCAGCTGACACCTGGGGATTGTTGTAGCCATCCCTACAAGACAGGGCAAAGGACTGGGTTTGCTGTCTGCCTATGGCACACACAGGCATGTGGATTTCATGGGAACATGCAAAAATGAAGTTTGTTTTCCAGATGACTGAGGAGAAAGGATCAAGCTGTATGAGCAGTGGGTTTTACTTTGGCCTCAGCTCCTCGTGGATTTTGGAATCACACACTTGTAACCACGAAGACTTTTGCTACATCAACGTGGAAGGGAAATTCCAGTTAAAAAAACAACACCATCCAAATGGCCAAAGTACCTCTGATGAAAGAGATCCCTTGTGCTACTCGAGAGAAACCTCCCAGGCAGTTTATCACTGATTTGTATGACATGGATTTGTTGCACAACAGGCTGCAAATTCTCTCCTTGCTCTGCTGTAACTGCTGGAGTTCAGCAGGGTACAGGGACAGCATAACATGGAAATGCAATTATTAAGATATTTTTTTCCCCTACATGCTGATAAAGGATAGTAGTGAGAAAAACAAAAGCTGTTTCTTGTGGGAGATCTCACAGAATGTTCTTCAGGCATAAGTGACCATGGGCCTGGAGGGAACAGATCCAGTGAATGTGGTCAGAAGAACATATGGCATTGACTTCTCATAGCCTCCACACAGCTCCAGCCCATGGGAAGCAGGCAGAAAGCCACACTTGTGTATCCCATGTGACATGTTGTTTCCTGCAGGAAAAGCTATCACTTGTACTGAGCACTCAGTAGCAAAAACTAATGAAATGCATGAGGCATGTATTTAACACTGGCCTGATGCTTTAAGAGCTTAGATCCTATAACAGCACTGATGTCAGAATGGATTCAATCCATCTCCATATGATGAAAAATGAAACCTTAACTTGAAGATTTGCCCGTTGGAAGTATATATCAAACTAGAAAAATGTGTCACTGCCTTTCCATTCAAGAAACAACATGGACTATTTATTATAATGAGAAAAGGCACTGACCGGTGTTGGACATCTGGCCGATAGAAATAGTCAACAGGAGTGTCCAGTCGTGAGAAAATTGGGGGAGGGATGTACAGAGGCAATTCCCTATTGAAAAATTCTTCCTTCTCTGGCTTGAGCATTAGGACTTTGTCATACATGGAGGTTTGTTTGCCGTCAGGACCAGAATGCATCGCAAGGTACTGGAAATCTGACATTCCTATGGGAAACAAGTCATAAGGAATCATAGAATTATACGAGTCAGAATGCTGTGAAGTGTATTGTGAAGATAATGCTTCTCCCAGCACTCAGCTTTCAGGAGCAGAGTCTGATAGATCTATGCAAAGCTTTATACAGAAAGGAGACTGTAATAATAGGTGTGATTTCCCTTCCAGCCTTAAAAGGAAACCTTTCTCTTTCCCATCAGCCTTTAAGCCCTGAGGACAAAAACACCAGCATTACCTTGAAATTTGTAAACCGTCGTGACGATCCCCATGATTTCCATCTCAAACTGCACGTCCTGCTCCTCCGCGTCCACCCGCTTCCTCCCGGTCCTCCTCTTCACCTTGAGCAGCATGGCGGAGGCAGGGAAGCGGTTGGCACACACGGGATGGCAGTAGGGGTCCTTGGGGCGGAAATACAGCTCCAACCTTCTGCCGGGGTCGGCGTAGATCTGCATCACAGACGGCACGCCGTCAGCTCCATGCCTTCACATCACCCCGGGGTCTGAAACGCCTTCCCACCACCTCCAGCACGGCGCCTCACCGCCCCGATACCCCGCGTAACCCGCAGCCCGCCTCCCTCACACGCGGCCTCCGGCAGCCCCTCACCCTCGACACCCCTTCCTCTCCTCCCAGAGTCCGCAGCATCGCGCCGACATCCCGCACCAGCCCCGGATATTCCACGCACACCAAACGCGGAGCGCTGGGCAGCTCCAGCACCCCCGAGCCTCGCTCCGCGCGCTGCCCGTCCGCCGCCATCGCTGCCCGCCCCGGCTCCAATCCGTCCCCGCTCCGTCCCCGGCCCTTCCCCGCAGCCGCAGCGCGATGGTTCCGCCGCACGGAGGTTCCGGGTCGCCCTTCGCTTTCACAGCGCGCTGTGCTTAAAGAACGGAGTGTGAGCGCTTTGGAGAGACGCGAGGAGGCTCTGCTGTGTGCATCTGTGTGCTCTTCTCCCTTGAGGACGGCCAAAGGCTGTAAGACACACACCTGCACTCGGGGCTGTGTAGGAAGAGCAAACAGATGTGGCAGATCAATAGTGGGAGATCGTGGCTTGGAGACTGTTTATGGGTTCTGCTCACTTGGAGAAATGGACTTTGTGAGCTCCCTGGGGGGGGTGCACTCAAAGAACTTTGCAAATAAAAAAACCCCACTGGCCTGTACTCGTAGACCAGCTGGGGTGTGCTTGGATAGACAGCTAAGCAGAAAGCAAGAGGCTCCAGTGTCAAGATTAGGGAAATGGACAGGGCAGACATGATAAACACTAACAAAATTAGCAGAGATCAGGAGGTAATAAATTATGAACCAATAATGAGATAGGAATAATGAGAGAGAGGAAGCATCATATAGACTGTGAACCTGGAGTACCCAACCAGCAAGGAAACAGGGAAAGAATCCTTATGTTGGGGGTGTAGGTGATATCAGGCTATGATGTGTTTTTGGTTGTGTGTTCCTGCTTGCAGGACACCCACCATTGCAATCACAAATTAAAACATTTTCACAATAGATCTGGTCTCCAAAGAAATCAGTTGGTTATTTCTCACTCCCACCATCCAGGAGAGCAGGGCTGAATTCACTACCTTGGAATCAGCTTGAGGAGAGCTCAGGAGCAGCAGCAGCAGCAAGAGATGGTGAGCTCACAGAATCACTGAATGTCTTGAGCTACAAGGGACTGATCAGGATCATTGTGGCCAACTCCTGGCTCTATGCTGGGCCACCCAAAAATCAGACCATGTGCCTGAAAGTGTTGTCCAGATGTGTAGGCACAGCTGCACCCATGTCCCCTCCCCTGTAGCTTTTGGCACCCATTCTGGCTCCCTGCTAACCCTGGTGTCCCTCGCTGTCCCCTAGGGTGTGATGCAGGGCACTATTCCCTGTCTCAGCACCACCATGTTTTCTGGGCTTATGCTCCTCCATCTCTATCCTCCTTCTCTTCTCCCTTTGCTCAGCCTTCCCGAGAGATTGGGGGTGCAAAACAGAAGGGTTGGTCTCCTCAACAACTGATGCTGCTTCTCGGGCATCCTATACCCAACGCTGCACCCTATTCATCCCATAGCCAACGCTGTCCCCTGAGCATCCCATACGCAGATCCGGCAGGCACTGACAATGGGCCGCTCTCTTAGCGCCCCCTGGCGGGCATAGCGCGCACTGCAGCGGAACCTTCCCAGATAAAGAACATAAAGCAGCTGATGAAGTTCTGGTGAGTTCTGCACAGGTGAGTTCTAGTATCTCTGGCCTTGGGCTTCACGTTGGTCACGTGGCTTTAAGTGTTTCTCTCCGCGTTTTTAAGAATATTTTCAGTGTTTTTTCTGCCTGAGCAGAAATTCTTACCCAAAAGTAGAGTGCCTTCAACGTCTCTCCTTTGTTTGCATTACATTTATAAGACCACAGCTATCTTTGAACTTTCCTTTCATTCCCCACCAAACCAATCCGATTGTGCTCACTGAGCACTGGAAAATTACTAAGTGGAAACAGATGAAGGGTAAATACCCTTTGATACAGCAGCCAGGGCGCTGTGCACCAAAGCTGCATGCAGCTGGCCATGGGCACGGGGAGGATGTTGGTATGGGACAAGGTTGTGAGCATCCATGGTGTTGTAAAGTTGGGAATAGCTCCAGGTACAAATCCTGGGTGACAAATTCTGATCCTCTTCTTTATTCCCTGGTTCAGAGCTGTAGCTCATAGCCTAGCTTGGTCTTTGTGAAGCAGAGACTTGTGGCCATAAACCAGTGCAGAATAACCTCCTTGCATTTATTATTATTATTATTATTATTGCTAACTGGGGAACATTTCTCTAAGAGATTTGTGTGCATATATTATAATTATCTATGAGATGTTTGTTATAAGTGTGGATGATTAGAATCCGGCAATATCCAGAGGTACAGATCAGGATTGGGTCTGTCCTGATAGGGATCATGCAAGGCACAAGCAAAAACAAACCTTGAGGCAATGATGCACTGATGCATCATTAATTGACCCACTGCTGTCAGGGGAACGTGCTTTGCCAAGAGACTAGATGCTGCTTCCTGCCTAACTGTAGTGATAGGGAGTAAACCGTGATGACAAAGACATTCAGAAGCCAAAATGCCTCAGTTGCAATCAAGTCTTTAATGAACTCGGTCTGTCTTTAAAAGGTGGTTTTGCTTGGAGCAGCTCCACAGTCTAGGATGTCTTTGGCAGATTTAAATAGACCGAATTCCAGTAGTTCACATATTGGGTTCTCAGATTCTGTTTCACTGAATCAGAGTTTATTTTATTGTTGATTTCCAGGTAGTAACCACCCTCAGTGGTGTAGGCCGGCCAGGTAACAGGCACCTTTGAATCCCCACTGTTGGGGTCACTGGGAAAAAAGAAATAGAAGTTTAGTTTTATCATGGCAGATTTGTGTTCTCTGCAGATCTTATCTGTGCTCAAGTAAGGCTTTAAGTGAGTGCAAGGAGAGACTTTGAAATTTAGACAAATGATAGCAATTCTGCCTGCTAGGAGCAACTTGCCAACCTGCATTCTCCCCCTTTGGTTCCCACTAGCACTGGCCCTGGCTGCACAGAGCAAACTGAACTCCTGCCCCAACTCCAGGGTTCAGAAAGAAATGTCATCAGAAATTTTAAGCAGAGATCACAAGTCCTGAAAATGCTTCTGCTGTTCCCAGGTGTTCTTTGGATGAGGAAAGCTCAGAGCAAACTCTAGCACTGGGAGACATAGAGCCAGGTTTGCAAAAGTACAGAGGGCACTCTGCTTTTGAGAACTGCTTCTGAGAAGTTAATAGACAAAAGCAACAGGTTGAAGTGCTGCAGCAAGCTCCAAAGGTGGAACCAGGATCACTTACCCAGTCTTGGCAAAATTGGTCCAATAAGCAATCATGGCAGATGAGACTTTCCTGTGCTTGGGCAGGTAGCCTAGAGGGGTGGCAAAGGGTTTCCCAAACACGTACTGCAAGTCATCAGCGTGGTCTGCCCCTACCCAGCTTGGATAGATGGGCATTCGAGATGGCTGGGAGAACAAATAGCTGTATGTCTTGCCAGTCCTGGGGAAATAAAATAGGCTTGATAAGCAACTGTGAGTGGGGAGCAGGAAAAGGAGTGCGGATTTGTAACTATGCTCCAAACACTGATGGAGCCCTTCATGCTGGGAGTAGCATTTTGGTTCCCAAACAAACTCTGAGCTCCTACCAATGCTGTGCTCCTCACCGGGCATTCTGATGGTGCAGGTTTAGTGCCCACTGCGTGGGAATCAGGAAAATGTAGTCTGTAATCAGGTCCACCACTGTTTTCTTCATGACTTCTTGCCCTGGGTTGTCACCCCATGTCTCTGTGTAGAGATCGTACGTCAGGGTGGCTGCTCTCTCACCCCTCTCTGCAGTAAGTCCTTCGACCAAGTCAAAGAACTCGCTCCTGAAAAGACAAGAGGTATGAGATAATTGAGGACCAGCAGCTTGAAGAGGAGCGTAGAAGTTGTCCCAGCTCCCTTTGATGTTTCACATCCAACACCTGTGGTTGGCAACTGTTTGGTGAAGTAAAAGCCAGGAGTTTCAATCCAGGTCTTAGATGGAGAGACACAACCTTTTCAGCAGAACCGCTTGGGTTCCAAATGAACCATAAGCTCTTTTAGTCCTGAAAGAGGGGTCTTATGGCCAGGCACCCAGCATTTCTGCATGAACACACTCCACACAGAGAGCATCAGGGCTGCCATGCTTGTCTCTACTGCTGAGTTCAGGGGTATCTTAAATATATTTGGGAAGGCTTCCCCACTAAATTAGATCATTTTCTTGAAGGCTCTGGGCTTGGCAACACATGCCTTGGGCACCCCAGCTTGGAGTGACATCCTGTGCTGAAGATAGTGCCCCTTCCAGTCTTTGGTGTTTGGGAATATGTTAAAGTTTCTCTTGATAAGGGTTTTAGGAATGTCCTCTTACGCAGTCATTTTCCCTAATGGACGGTTGATAGCAGGTATATCAACGCCAGCAAATAAATGTCCATCCATGTCATTGACCCCAGCAATGTAGTCAATGTCAGCAGCATTGGCAAAGAGGTTTTCTGGCAAGTCAGGGAGGAAGTCTCCATCAACAACGGGAGTGATGGTGAGTGTATGAACCACGGGACCTGCAGCAGGAAGCAAATCCAGAATCTGTTAGGAGCATGGAAAAAACAGCTGTGTGGCCTAGCGTATCTTATTTGCTTAAGAAAAAAAAAAAGATGGATGTTGTCAGTTTGTTGTTGTTTGTAAGCTGTATTCTGGAATTCCTCTTGCTGCTTTCATGAAACATTGCAGAACAGAAAGCTACTTGTTCTGGAGCTAAGGCACAACCCCTAGACAACTGATCTGCCACCACTGCCACTGCACAACCAACAGCATTCACTCAGCACAGTGTGCACCTGTCTGTGGAGGAGTGACTGCAGAATCTGTCATTGTTGTCCCCTTACTGAATGACACAAGCACTGTTTAAATACTTCTGGCAATCACCCCAGTACCCCATTGAAGGCTTAGTGAACTTTTTGTGCATGGAGGACACAGCATAGGCTGGGGAACATACCAGACAGGGAGGCCAGTTCCAAGTGGAAGGCCAGTGTCACGTCTTTGGGGTCAGTGGCACGGATGCAATTGGCCAAGACTGTGGTGTTATCTGTGGGGCAGCCCACTTTCTCTCCAACCTGCAGAAGAAGAGAGAGACAAAGCTTATGGCATTACTCTCTGAAGCCAGGCTGCATTCCCAGCTTCCCAGAGAAGAGCTTGGTTTTAATCTCAAAGATTCGTGTTTCCAGAGCTCTGTGTTTGGCAGCGTGGCTCCTGCTAAATCCCATACTTGCTATGCTCTTTTCTATGAAATCTCATTTTTTTTTTGTACCCTCAAGTAAGACTTCAGCTTCAGGATTGCTGCCTGGAGTGACACAGCCACGATCCAGCCAGCCCAGGTAGGTGTGCAGGCTACTAACTGTCCTGTGTGCCAGCCTCCCTCTGTGGGTTGGGGTCCCTCTGCAGAGGTGCACATTACCTTTTTAGCCCAAGTGAGTGGGTCGTCTTGGATGACCCAGCTGCACAAACCGACACCACTTTGGCTGATGGCTCTCTTGAACAGACCGGCATTCTTTGGGGACAGCATCTGCAGCACAAAATAGCACAAAATAGAGAGTTTCATTCATGAAAGCATGAAGAAACAATTCCATGCCAGAGCTGGCCGATCCCCCTCACAATTTGTACACAAGGTCCAGGGAAGGAGCCAGCTCTTGTTATACTCAGCAGTTGAAGTAAAAAGGTGGTATGATGAGAAGGAGAGAAGAGGAGGAGAGCAAGGGGGTATGGCATGCATGGAGGAAAGCATCAGAGTGCCAAGGGGGCTGGTTTGCCCATTTGCAGAAATGAGAAGCAGCTATAGTGTGGTCTAACAAGGACAACAGACCTGCAGGGAGACACTAGCAGCACCAGCTGACTCCCCAAAGATGGTGATGTTGTCTGGATCCCCTCCAAAGGCCTTGATATTCCTCTTCACCCAAGCAATAGCCATATGCTGGTCCTTCAGCCCATAGTTCCCTGAGTAACAGAGGGTACCCACCATTCATTCAGGGCAAAGGTGGGCAGCTGGGCAGGGTCCCCTAAGAGGGAGCAACTGTGGTACCTGGCATGTTTTCGTCTCCAGTGCTGAGGAAGCCCAGGGGCCCCACACGATAGTTGAAGGTCACCACAATCACATTGCCCCGCACAGCAATCTCCTCACCATCATAGAGGTAATTGTCAAGGAAGTTGGCTCCCTGACCCCCTCCAAGAAGGAAGGCACCGCCGTAGATCCAGACCATCACTGGCAAGTTGGTGGAGACTAGGAGGTGAGGAGGAAAAGCAGCGTGAAGCACTACACAGCCAGAAGGTGCTGCCTACTTCCATGCCCATTCACTGAGCACTGCTCCACTTGGGCATGAACCTATTGGGGCTGACGCAAATGCCCCTGTCATCTTCATTGTCATCTTACCCCACCACAGGAAGAGCATTGGAAAAGCATTCCCAGGACAACAAACTTATGTGGGCTTTCCCTATTGGCTGACATCCCATGCAAATTAATCTCTTTTCTTGACAAGAAAAGAACTTTTAAATCTCTACTAGAGTGTAGGACAGTCATTTGTCCAGAAAGGGTTGTCTCCAATTCAAGGACATGATGCTTTGTGATAGCCTATGGCCAAGAAAATCTCTGCTCTGTGGAAGAGGCTGCAACTCCCAGTGGAATGCAGCTGGGGAACAGTGGCTGAAATCTCTCCTACCTTTCCCACTGAAAACCAGTGCTGTGCTTGCTCGCTGTGGAAACATAGCTGTTGAGGGATGCCCCAAAGCAGTTGATCCACAGAAGGCAACTGAGAATCTCCTCCTCAGGTCTTTGCCAAACACATACCCTCTTTCCTCCCTTGAGGGATCCAGATGTTCAGATAGAGACAGTCCTCTTCCCCACGGACATCAGTTTGTGCAACCGTTGTCTGCATGCAGCGACTTTTAAATTCTGTTGTTTCCAGTGTTCCTGAGAGAAGAAAGGGAATACAACAGGTCCTGGTTAGAAGTGTCAGCTCTTTTGGTTGTAGGTTCTGTCCACCCATCTTCCCCTCTGTAAGTCTGGCAGGGGCAACAAAGCCTCCCCATCCACTGTTACTGAGCGAGTGGGACCCTTTCCCGTGTGAACTAGCTCCTGCCAGCAATGGACTAAAGAGACAGAAGTTAAAATAAACCCAAAGCTCGATCTTACCTTCCCAGCCAGGATGAGGCTGGGGGTCGTACAGTGTCTTTGGTGGGGCAGCAAAAGGGATCCCTTTGAAGATGTCCACATAGCTCCCCAGGAGTCCCCGTCGTTTATTCTTGCCTTTCACAAAACCTCCCTCGGTGAGCACCACACCAAGCTAAACGTGGTACCATTGAGAAGAAAGTAAATCCCTTGCAATCCTTCATGACTGAGGCTTCTCATGTTGCCAGCACCCACACCTTCCCATGGCTGGAGGGTCCCCCAGCACAAAGCGACTCACAGCCCCCTCCCCCAGCCATCCTGGGATTCCTGGTGGGAAGCCCACAGGTAGCTGCTGCCAGCGATGTGCCCACGCCAATGTCCTTCATGTTGCCCTTCGGAGCAGACAGCCAGCAGCAATATCTCTGCTCTTCCATGTGTACATGGTTGACTGTGAGAACCTACAGCCTTAAGATTTAAGCCAAGCCAGATCTGATAAAGAACTGTGCAGGACGCTTTTGTGAAGACACCAGGGACAGCCTTTTCAAGAACAATACCCTGCCTTTTCTGTCACTGTTTGCAGGCCTTTTTCATGAGCAGACATTGGAGAAATTTGCTCATTCAGGCAAGAACAGGCAAAAAGTCTTAGGAAGCTGTAAGAAATGCCTAAGTACTTACTGTCGCAGCCTGTGCCACCCCGAGGCAGCAGCACAAGGCAAAGCTCAGAGTCGCCCAGCGAGCCATGGTATGCACCTGAGGAGCCTGCCTCCAAACACAGCCCAACATATGTATATATAGGTAGCAGTGCAGCTATGTGCCAGTGCCATTACGCAGTTTTTGCTCTGAGTTATGCTGCGTAAGTCCTTGTACATAAATAGGCCAAGGCTAAACCTTGGCTGAGGGAGGCTGGTGTCACAGTGTGGGAGCCCTGCAGGTGTTGCTTCTATGGGATGAAGGCCATCCACGTGTAAGGAAATATCTCAATCAAAATTCAGATAGTGAAAGAGAATTGAACTCCATGGCCTGGATTTGGAATCCTGCTGTAATTCAATAGGCCACGCTAACAGTATTATACACAGAACCTCACAACCAAAACCTACAGAGGAGCCAGCAAGTAGGACTGCAACCACCTGGAGGAAGTCAAAGAAAAGGGCTGCATGCAGTCTTTTCCTACACAGCACACCAGGGCTGAGTGCCCAGCCCAGCTCAGGAACATGGCACGTACTTTTCTCAGCTCTTCCTCCACCTTCCTATCCACAGGATTGGTGCACACTTTCTTCCAGGTCCATGCAACAGCATCCAGTGGTTTGCTTGGGACTTTTTCATCATCAAAGTTCACAAAGATGGCATTGCTGGGGTAGAGGACTGGGTTTGCTGTCTGCCTATGGCACACACAGGCATGCGGATTTCATGGGAACATGCAAAAATGAAGTCTGTTTTCCAGATGACTGAGGAGAAAGGATCAAGCTGTATGAGCAGTGGGTTTTACTTTGGCCTCAGCTCCTCGTGGATTTTGGAATCACACACTTGTAACCACGAAGACTTTTGCTACATCAACGAGGAAGGGAAATTCCAGTTAAAAAAACACCATCCAAATGGCCAAACTACCTCTAGTTGTCTGATGAAAGTGTTACCCTGTACTACCAGAGAGAAACCCCCCATGCAATTGATTGCTGATTTGATGAGATGGATTTGTTACACAAAAGGCTGCACGCTTCTGTTTTTGCTCCACTGTAACTCCTGGAGTTCAGCAGGGTACAGGGACAGCATAACATGGAAATGCAATTATTAAGATTTTTTTTTTCCCTTCTAAATGCTGATAAAGGAGTGCCGTGAGAAAAACAAAAGCTGTTTCTTGTGGGAGATCTCACAGAATGTTCTTCAGGCATAAGTGACCATGGGCCTGGAGGGAACAGATCCAGTGAATGTGGTCAGAGGAACATATGGCATTGACTTCTCATAGCCTCCACACAGCTCCAGCCCATGGCAGTGGCATCACTCCAAAATCTCACATGGATCTTGCTGAGACTCAGGAGCCTGGGTAGGGGTTTCCGCTGCAGGGTCACCCCCTGCACTGTTCCCTCCTCTGGTTGGGGCTGAACTCCTGGCCCTATGAAGGCACACTTTCCTGTTTCTCACAGTGCTCCCCATCATCAGGTACCCATACATAGCAGTGTTTGGGACAGCTCTAGCCAGGGCTTTGGTAGTGAGTGTGTATTTGTGTTACAGCTGCTGGTTTTCCTGCTCATCCCAGCAGTACAGGCAATAGAATTGTTCATTGTGGTATGGGGCAGAAGCAGAACTGCCAGCCCTAAATGTGCAAGAGTCCTGATCCAGCCTCCCTCTCAAAAGTGATGAGCCTCATTTGGATACTGTGATATATATATATGTGCGTGTGTGTATGTACATATAAAGAATGATTGACTCTTTATTTTCAGCCTGTAGGGTGCAGTGGCACTACATTTTTAATGCTCTCCCTGCAAACAAATGTCTTCATCTCTTGGCTCTGACACTCAAGCTTTAAGTAATACAGCTGATTATCATTAGACTTGAGAGGAAAGCCTCCAGACCTGTGAGAGCAGGTGGCATAACTGCAAAGGGAAATGCTTTAAAAGGAGACAGATGTGACTTCAACTAAGTGTAATTCAGGTGCTGTTAATTCATAGAATCATAGAATGGCCTGAGTTGAAAAGGGCCATAGTGATCATTTAATTTCAGCCTCCCTGCTACCGCTCTGTAAGTACCTAAACTAAAATCCTGTTCCCTTTAGGAGCCCATAGGAAAGGGGCAAGGAGTGCTTTCTTTTCTTTCCTACGATCACAGGTCTGTTTAAACCCTGGGGAGGGGTTGGCAGATGAGTGGGTATGAGGCAGTTCAGTACTTCATGGTTGCTTTCCTGAAGGTTTTGCTTTACTCTTGCCTTGTCAACTGTTGCCCTGGTGTCCCATGGAGCAGCCCCCTGAAGCAACGCACTTTTGCTCTGATTCATGTCTTTTTGAAGACGTAGTAAGTGGCTTCAGTAGGCTTTATGAACTGTGATTTCACATCGGTGTGAATACATTAATATTCACAAAGAATACACAAACCTGTAGGGAGGTAAGTCAGTCCTCTTTACTTGTAGTTCAGTACTGAAATATGTACATATGCTTCTTCTCTATGTTTTCTGTTATTGCATTTAATCTAGTGGAGGGGTGCATCTCTGTCTCGCAGATGTTGGAGGACCCACTAGCTTGAGATGTTCCATAAATGTGACATGAGTGCTCTGTGAATTGCAAACACTTGCAAACATGGCATTTCTGGAAATAGTGGGCTCTGACTGGAATATCTGGGCTGAATGCCATTCAGAAGTACTACATTTTCTGACTGATCTCTAGCTGTTAAGTGTTTGACAACAGGCTTCGGAGCCGTTGAAAGTGTTGGTTATGGTGAACAGAAACTCTTTTTGAAAATACTTTGCCTGGTAGAACTTAATTTCAATGTAAAACAGGATGGATTCTTTAGCTCTCAGTGATGCCACAAGGGCTCCATATCAGCCCTGTGCAATGCCCACATCACAGAGGGTGGAATGTGCTTCATTTCCTTACATGTGTGTTCTCACTTAGCAATATTTTAAGGAGTAAGGATGCGGAAAGACAACTATGTTTTATATTTTTATTGCTACACTCCATAAAAAGTCTATCAGGCATTTCAGCCCTTATGCCATGCGATTTCACCAGCTTTTATCTCCCTTCTTTGAGCTGCAGCTTTTCCCCGCTCATCTTTGTAATCTGACATTGTGATTTGTTCGCTTGTATGCTTGTTTTTCTCCTCAGAGAAGATTTGCTGAATCATTGGGGAGGAGGCAAGGGTTGTACGTGCAGCTGGTGGGCCACGATAAAGCCATGGTCGCATCCAGCCATCAGGGTTTGCAGATGACAGCCGTTCAGTTGAAGGGTCTGAGTCACATTCCCTTCGGAGCTAAGATTGCTGGGGACTTGGGAACTGAGGAAGTGGGGCTGGGAGCTAATACCAATGACTTATTTTTGGGACACAGAATGAACTGTAGATTCTGATAACTACATTTCTTTTGTTGCATCTCCTGAAAATTTATAATGATGCTGTGAGAAAGCTTGCAGACAAAGGCTTAATCCTTGCCAACTGTTGTCGGGGGGAATATTTATAGGTGGAAAATTAATAGGGGGTAGGAAGATCACAATGCTTTAATGTTCTGTGCATTTTCTATGGGATTTATTTTCATAATGCCAGGTCCCATCCCAGCACATGTACAGCAATTCTACCTTGCTCTTATCTGTTGATCTCAGGGTATGTCTGTGTTGTTATCCTCATTTTGTGGTTGGGAATCCTGAGACAGAGAGAAGGGTAGTGACTGGCTTGGATCAGCTGACAGCAGCAAAGATAGGAGAAAAGTCTTTTTTGTTTGAGTTTCATGTTCATCACTCTTCATGATGCCTCAGTATTAAAAAATGGATTTGCAGTTTCTAGATGCTCACACCTAGGAGCTTATTGAGCCAATTGATTTACAGACAAGCCACTACAGGCTGGATCTAAATAAGGCACTGGGGCAGGGATGTGTGAGTGACACAGTGGTTCACCATGTCCATGCCCTCAGGATGGTGTCTTTGCAAGAACAGGAATGCATCATCATCTGACTTCCCTTTCCCCAGCTGAAGCAAGAGATAACTTCTATTATATAAAGAGAAGAAACCAGCAGTCTTGGCCACTGCTAAAAATCCCACCAAAGTTCTTAATATAGAAGAGCCTAGGATGTAAGATAAAGTCCCATTGCTTTAAAACTCCTCAGTGAGAAAGTAGAATCAACAGTAGGTGGGTTTTTTGATTTGTTTTTAACTCGAAAGCCTTGAACCTCAGAAGTGCATTGGCCACTGCTAAGTGTGGATGTTGTACTTAAAGCTTGGTTAAGAGCCCTTGATGCACCGAGGAATTAAATGGCCGTGAACAAGCTCTCTGTCATAAAGCTCTACTTGTCATAAAGGGAGCCTTTGAATGACTAGCTCATGTAGAAGATATCTTGTCCTACAGTGTTGCTGTCCCCAGCCCTCTCTATGATATCCAACGTACTCACTTGTTGGCAGGTAGCATGTTCTTGTGGGGCAGGCTCAGGGCTTTTACTTGAGCCATCTCTCAGCAAAATTTCCTGACACAGACAGGACCTGAGTCCCCTGTTTCAACCAAAAGACCTGAAGATGAGCCCAATGCCCTGCATGCAGTCCACTACTATGAGCAGTGACACGGTAACAATACGGTTAGAGGGGCTGTAGGAATGCAGTGTGTCTCAGCTCATGGTCTTACACTATTTCTATCCTGCATGGCACATCCTCAGCAGGGAAACCAAGCAGGAAATGTGCTGTGCAACAATTCTTTTACCCTCTGTCATGACTGAGGTGTGCAGAAAGGGAGTTCATCCAAACATGGGAGAGTCTGCTGTAGAGATCTGGGTATTGCTGCACTAAAGCTAAGTGTGAAAGGATTTGCTGGTCCATGCTTTTGCTGCTCAGAATGGATGAGAAGGTTTTTCTTCTATTTATGTGTTTGTTTTCTTAAAGGGAAAACAAAACAATTTTTTGTATGCTGAAATTTGGTGCCTTAGCGTTAGCCTGAGCTGCTGGAGCTCAAGCTCCAAGCTCAAGGCTTGATGGCAGCCTTCTGAAGGATCACCTTGTGCAGTAAGTATCCAAACTTCTGAGTCCGACTCTCCCCTTTGGGCAACGTTCCTAGGAAAGCTTTCCCTCTCACCTTCCCTCAGGCCTCTATGTCCAAATTTGCAACTTTCCTACTGCACTTACCGGTGTCATTTGCATGGACAGGGCTCGTGGCTGGGAGCAGCAGGCTGACAGGTCCTTCCTGCCAATCTGTCTGCTCTTCAGATGAAGTGGTTGGAAAGTGCTCACTCTCTCCAGTTCCCGCTTTGGCTTAGGCGCTCCGATAAGGCTGGGGCTGTTCTATCTGACCCCGGGAGCTGTTCCCCCTCCCTAACAGGCCCACTTTGCTGGCTGACAGTTAGCAGCCGGC